AGTATAGTCAAGTAGTATAATGTAATGTAATATACATTTCTATATTTAAATTAATACAATTAGACATTCTGAATGGAATTTAAAAAGATATATCACTGTGTTGCTTTCACATATATGCATAATTCATATATGGAAATTGCATATTCCACATTATTTAATTTTATTATTCCTGCTAAATTGCTAAAACATTCATGGTAAAACTAAAAGATATATAAATAAAAAAAAATAACACATTAGTGAACACAATGCAGTGCAGTAGTAACAGTGCTAACTATGGTATACTTATACTGCAGAAAAGTGATAGAATGTTTTGAGCGGGATATGTAACTGCTATCACTTCCACTCCACTCCATACTCTGGTCTCACACAACCATACAAAGTTGAAGCATCACCAAAACTGCTGTGATTTGTCTGGGTGGTCTACTTGAAACCTCAGTGCTAAACAGGCAAAATCGTTTCAGTCAGAATGCAAACGAGCCAATATCCCCTCTGGATGAAGACATCAAAGTTATCTCCACTACTGAAGATTCGTAGCCAAGTAAAAAGCTAAATCATTGTGTTCTACACCAAGAACCAGACTGATAGACATCAGGACTTGTTTATATCAGGCGTAACCCATCAGGACTCCATCAACACCCAGCTATCAAATAACACCAAACAGTTTATATAACCAGATGCATCTCAAACTGCTTCAATTACTACAAAGCAAACGTCAAGATACTGCGATCAGTTGTGAGTAACTCTAAGTGAAAAACACATTCTGTTTTGTTTTGGGGTTTTTTATGAGCACTTATGTTAACCAGAGATCATTTAGATTAAGGAAAATTACTAGATTTAATCATGCCCATTTAAAGTGAGAACTAAATAACGTACTTTGCTGACCACACCAATTGTATTTTAATCGAGTTTGTTGTGTGTTGCGGCTCAACAACAGGAAACCACTCAGTCGCAGCTATGAAACCCTGTGAGAGTCAAAAACTGGGTGGAATGCTGGTAGGGCTGCACAATTAATCGAATTTCTAATCACGATTACAATTATGGATGCCACAATTACGTAATCGTTCAAAGCGGCAATTAATCGTTCAAAGTCCACTTATGTTATTCTGTGCTTAAGATGCTTCTTTTTGTTTTCTTTCTACATGTTATCTTAAGGGTTTTTCCATTTTTTTATTTTAGTTTTAGTATAACACTATAATACCATTTATATTTTTACTTTTTTTATAATTTAAAGAAGAAACCAATCCGATGTATAGTTGACATTTGAGGCTTAATACTATAGAAAAGCACTCAAAGTTTTTCAGTTAAGAGTGTTTTCAGCTCGTTTATTTTCATATAAAAATACGGCATGCAGTTGCATCAAACAATGGTATAAACATCATTCAATGTAAATTGTGATAATCGTAATTAATAATCGCAATTACAATTTCAAGGGAATAATCTAAACAGGCAAAATCGTTTCAGTCAGAATGCAAACGAGCCAATATCCCCTCTGGATGAAGACATCAAAGTTATCTCCACTACTGAAGATTCGTAGCCAAGTAAAAAGCTAAATCATTGTGTTCTACACCAAGAACCAGACTGATAGACATCAGGACTTGTTTATATCAGGCGTAACCCATCAGGACTCCATCAACACCCAGCTATCAAATAACACCAAACAGTTTATATAACCAGATGCATCTCAAACTGCTTCAATTACTACAAAGCAAACGTCAAGATACTGCGATCAGTTGTGAGTAACTCTAAGTGAAAAACACATTCTGTTTTGTTTTGGGGTTTTTTATGAGCACTTATGTTAACCAGAGATCATTTAGATTAAGGAAAATTACTAGATTTAATCATGCCCATTTAAAGTGAGAACTAAATAACGTACTTTGCTGACCACACCAATTGTATTTTAATCGAGTTTGTTGTGTGTTGCGGCTCAACAACAGGAAACCACTCAGTCGCAGCTATGAAACCCTGTGAGAGTCAAAAACTGGGTGGAATGCTGGTAGGGCTGCACAATTAATCGAATTTCTAATCACGATTACAATTATGGATGCCACAATTACGCAATCGTTCAAAGCGGCAATTAATCGTTTTTCATTCTACATGTTATCTTAAGGGTTTTTCCATTGTTTTAATTTTAGTATAACACTATAATACCATTCACATTTTTACTTTTTTTTATAATTTAAAGAAGAAACCAATCCAATGTATAGTTGACATTTGAGGCTTAATACTATAGAAAAGCAATAAATGTTTTTCAGTTAGTTTTCAAGGGAATAATTGACAATTATGATTTTTGTCATAATCGTGCATCCCTAAATGCTGGTACGCTAAAGCCTAAAACATCAAAACAGTTTACTAGACATTTAAATGACCGTGACCTTTTGCCCCACCCAGAGTTCAAAGCTCCGTACAGTAGAAACTGTCCCTTCTATTTACATTAGAGAGTGAGCGTTTCTGCCAGAGGTCATTAGAAAGCAAAACAAGAGCAGGGAAAACTAGAAAAAGAGATAAGAGGAAGCCTAAGTCTTTCTTTCTGAAGAGTAGCGAATGAGATGAAATCATCACAGATGGAGGTCCTCACCTCGATAAACGATAGGCAGTAGGAAAGGGGGAGAAAATAAAACAGCTTTGTGTATCTGCCGCCCCATTGCTGATATCGTAGGGTCAAGAGATAAAGCCACCCAGGACATACAAGATTTTTTTTTTTTAGACTGGAGAGAGTGAGAAAGAAATGAAGAGCTTTGTCTCGAGTGAAACAGGAGAGACAGATTAAAAACTGGGAGAAAAGTCGCCTTAGATTGAAGTCTCCAAAAGATAAAAGCCAAAGAACTCTTGCTACCTGGTTCATCATTCAAACCATAGAATGAGCTTTGCTCATGTCAGACTGCTTTTGCTTTGGTTTTGCAATTATTGCCAAAGGATTACACTTCTGAGAAATTCAGAATTTTTGGTGCATCCTACCCAAATTAGTTTCATTTTTGTAGTTTGAACAGCAAAAAAAAATAAATAAATAAATAACTGATTAAAAATCAGATTTCAAGTTTTTTTTTTTTTTTTTTTTATTTGCACAATGTATACTAGAGCAGTGTTCAAATACTATTTTAGATAGAGATGCATGATATATCAGCAAATGGATATTTTATTTATCATTTCACTTCATATTAGATATGTTTATTTGTTTAGCAGGGCGCATTTTAACCTATCTTTACTTTAATAATACTTTTGTCATTATTTATAACTCATTTAATCTTTTAAAACACTAACAATTTAATAATGCTGTACTAAATGTATCTTTAGCAAATATCAAAATGAATATTCATTCTCATACTGTGAAGAAACATTGTGAGGCTTAAATTCACCTGTAGCAATTACAACTACCAATTTTAGGTTTTAGTTTTTTAATCCTTATAACTTTCATTCAACAAAGATGTGTTAAATTGATCAAAGCTAACAGACACATTTTTAAAAAAAATCTTATCGATCCAAACTTTTGAACGGTAGTGTATGTGACATTCGCTGTAAAAAAAAATGTTTGTAAAAAGCATTGTGTTGACACTCACATTATTAACATAGGAACTGGCCTAGAGATTGGGTGTGAAAACCAAATTGGATTTGAGTACAGTGTGAACAAAGCCTAAAATCTCCCCGTCGGTCCGTCCCAAACTAGTGTGCCTGCTTCATGCTGTTTTCAGAGTTTAACATGTGCTTTCTTATGTTGCCAATGGATTAGCATTTTTGTTATCTTCTTTGACACTACACCAAATGTCTTATAGCTACGGGTTAATTGGTTTTCTAGCACTGGCATCTGGGGATGGCAATTAGGGGAGACAATGCTCTTGATATGGGCTTTGATTAAACTCCCTTCAGTGCTGAACACGACAATAAGCTCTTTTTTTTTTTAAATCAGGGATGTGAGTTTTGTTTGCAGGCTGACATGTTTGGGAAAAAAACACCTCCAGATGCAATGCTAACAGGCATATTTCCTTTCACAGATCTTTTTCAGGTACAAAAATATTCCCACAGAGTGAAACATCAGCCTTCGTTCACCTGCCGCTGCTGATGAACATCCTCTAATAGTCTCCCTTACACACATATGTGCACACACACACCAATATCAAAAGCCAATTATGGCAAAATAATGAAGAAACCAAATTGCCCTCGAGACGTTTCGCATTGTGACAAATCAATAAAAGGACCATGATGACATACAACGAGGTGCCAATAAAGAAACATTTGACTCCCAGTTGTGGGGGTCACAGCGATTCACTGACAAGTGCTGTGGTAAGTAGTTTTGTCACAGACGTGTGACCTCTGGCCTTAATCAGCCCGTTTTTTTTTTGTTCGCCACTTCTCCAATCAGGGAAATCGGTCACAGTGGCTGATAAGGGTCTATTCTAGAGCTACGATGAAGAAAGACGGGGGTTTGGGGGCTTTTAGCACACATCAGATAACATAAGAGCCATACTAAGGAGAGTGTGATGTGAGACGGATAGTGTATCACGAGTGGTAATCGCTTCCTCACGAGGGACCCAATCAAGCGCGGTCTGCTCCCGAGATGTGGCAGGGGAGAAGGACCCTCCCTGACACCATGGCACAGATGGATAAACAATGGATCGTGAGAAAAGGGGCACACGACTGACCTACATTCATTATCTGGGGACTAAACGGATTCCTCCGTAAAAGTGAGGTGGATCAAAATTCCAGTTGTAATTAGGTTGATTCCTGACCCCAAACCCTGACACTTCTTTACTCCTTCTGTCATGTCTTGTGTTTTGTGTGTAATTACTTCAATCATGTCAAAATGTGTGCAGAAATGTTTCCAAATGAGGGCCTGGGTACTGTTGCTCCATTAACCGACCACATGGGCAACCACAGACATGGTTGGACAACTCAGATTTCATGTGCCAGTGGACGGCGATGTGTTTTCCACTGTCGAATTCATGGAGAAACCACCTAACATCTCAAAACGATGTTACAATGAAAATGTAGTAAGATAAGACACTTACCTCCTCCACCGCCGAGCAGAGAAGAGTTTGCTGTAGAGGAAACAAAAGAGAGAAAAACAACATGAGTGTCTGAATTAGGGAATATGTTCAAAAGAAGCACTTTAGTTCAATGCGGAGCATACTATCATTCAGATGAGAGCCAACAAAGATGTGGAACCTGAAGGTCAAGAACACTCCAAAGCCAGACATTTGCACTGAATAGAGGTTTGAGGTACCAGTGAGCTGGCAGCTGTACTGCAGAATGCTATTATTACACTCCTAAATGAACGCCATTGAGCGTTAAATGCTCAGGCTGCGTGTTTTCTGTCAGAGCCGAGTGGGCTACACGTAGAGCTGCTGTGGTGAGTTTAAGCAGACGTGGCTGGGGCCCGGGCGTTTCTTTGATGCCATGTTTCTGATTTCTGCAGTGGGCGGCCCGGGGACAGCGGCCTGTCTCAGAAATCCCTCCCGTCACCCGGATAAGAGTGCTAAAAACAGACAGAGTAAAAGTATATTCCACTCCTCTCTACTTAACCCTTTCGCACGTGAGTTTAAAATATTCTAGCTGAGCCCCCAGCGTGAGGTAGGGACAATCAGCCACACAGGAGAGTTTGGCACCACAAGACACTGTTACACCTTTTTTCACTATTCTTCAAGTGGTGAAGCCAATAAGAGGTTTCATTAGAGAAATAAAAAGAGGAGTCACTGAAACATTTAGTAATTGGATTATATCTGCTACAGATTATACTGCTTTAGAAAAAAACGAAGTGAATACCAATTTAAAAATGCCCAAAATAAAATTAAAAAAAAAATTTAATTAAAAATTAAAATTTAATTAAAAATACAATTAAAAATAAAATTAAATAAAACTAACAATCGATTATGATTAAACAATTTTTTTTTAAAAAGTAGAAAGCCCTGCTATATCTATAATACTGGTTTTATGAAATGCAGTAAAATGAATTAGAATTGATATTACAGGTATGTACACAAACAATACATTCCAATTTATGACAATTATATTTAAATTATAAATTATAGTATGCATTGGCACACATATATACATACAGATGAATAACAGTTTTTATTAAAAATGTATAAATTACATGTTTAATAAAAACAAATAATGTTAATCATATATATATATATATATATACACATACACACACACACACATACTCCTGTATCACATTAATTTAATTTTGTTGTTCATTTCTGGAGAGCAACCAAATAGGTTACATTTCAGCAATGGGTTGCATTTTGCATTAAAGGGGTCATATGATGCTTTTTTAAAGATCATTATTTTGTGTATTTGGTGTAACAGAATGTTGGC